ACTATATATATATATATATATATATATATATATATATATATATATATATATAAAAGAGAATCTTAGGGCCACCTACGTGGCGCCATTACAAATCAGAATTCTCTTTTAATTTTTTTATTTTCAAAATTACCGTTCCCCCACGAAAAGATGAGACATTTTATGAAAGTTGTGACTTTTATGAAAAATTGTGACTCTTATGAAATATTTTGACTTAAATGTAGAGTTGCGACTTTTATGAAAAATCGTGACTTTAACGAAGAGTTGCAATTATTATGAAAAATTGTGACTTTTATGATAGTTGTGACTTTTATGAAAAGTTGTGACTTTAATGAAGAATTGCGATTTTTATGAAAAGATATAACTTTTATGAAAGTTTGCTTTTCGAAGAGTTGCAACATTTCCAATAGTTGTAACATTTCCGATAAGGCACAATAAATATTTGCTCACACTATCCTTTGTTGTCTATAAATAGAGGGATTTCCTTTCATTTTAAGACAACAAAAATTTTGAATCTCCTCTTCTTCTTCTTCTTCACAATTAAATATTTGCACTTTGTACCTATTTAGTGGCTTACTCACACCATTGTTTATGTTATAGATCCTGGTATGATTTTCACGATTATTAATTTATGTTTATGTTATTAAGGATAAATGATAAGATGCAATAATTTTTATTTTTCTTTACATTATTAATGTTTGTTACTATGTAATCGTATATGTAAGATAATATATTGTTTTAGTTTTAATGACTTGTATGTCTTAATTATTATTTTATAAATTTCATGATACTATTAAATTTTCGCGCGAAGCTTAAGTAATTTACTAGTTATGATATAAAAGAAAGTTTGGCTCTCTCAAGAATAGGATGGACCCGATAGGTGTTACTCCTTCCGCTCATTTTATGTGCACCATTTTTCTTTTGATTAGTCCCAAAAAGACTTGTCACATTTTCTAATATAGTAAGTATTTAAGGTACAATTCAACTTTTATCCTTGTTGGTCCCACTTAATCTTAAAGATATACTCCAATATATTTATGATGAGAGAGAAAAGCGAGTTTACTTTTTAATATGACTATTTTACTAATATAACTATTTTTTTAAGAATAATTTGATAAACATGTCAAAGTCTTTCTTTATTTCTTAAACTTCATAATCAATCAAATATCATCGCCCAGAATAAAACGAAAAAAGTATCACATTAGGGAAATAAAATCAAAGAAACATATATAGCACTTTAATTTGGATAAGAAAGTCAAATGAAATCTTTATTTAAAATTGGCAAAAGTTATCATATAGATAGTGAGATAGTCAATTAACAACAAATAGCTATCTTATTCATGGTTCACCCTATATCTTTTTATGAACGTGGCATTAATTATTGTAATTCGTTCGATTCAAAATATGTAATATTTTATTCAATTGCTTGATATTAATTTTTAGTATTTTTTAAAATTTATCCTTATTTGTATATTGTTGTTTATACATTGTTTATGAGTTACTTTTCTTGATTAATAGTAATGTATAATAATTTAATATCTCTAAAAATGATATGATTAAAAAAAACAAATTTAATCATGCCTTGACATGTTATGTTATTTATGATAGCTTGAAGTCATCATATGTTTCAATCGAGACTCTAATAGTTTTGAAAGAAATTAGTAAAATAAATATTTAACTGAAATATTAATGTTGGTCGTTAAATTTTAATTTACATAAAATGAGAATTATATGAAATGACCATTTAAAATAGTCAAGTAATCTCATAATTTCCCATATAACTTTTGTTGAAGTCTTTAAATGAAGGGCTAAGTTGTCCCATTTCAAATTCAAAAATGATTCATTCTCATTGTTCTTGCAGTAATTATTACTTCAAATTAATTACTTTTAAAAATTAATGTAGAACTTCTCAAAAAACTTAATTTTTTAATTTGTTAACTTCAATAATTAATAGGGAAAAAATGTTAAATTCACTTGGTTTATAAAGATGATTTTACAAGAGTAGTAATAATTCAATTGTCTTCGTGGTTGATGTTACTAATTAAATTAATGTTAATTATTTTGTGATTATTAAATTATGATTGTGTATTTGTAAATCTCAATCTTAGCGATAAAATAACGAATATGCTTTGGCGTTAAAATGATTCTACTACTATAAAAAAAATATTCTAGACGTATTTAGATTTTATTGAATAAAATTTTCAAATAACATCATATGTAATTACTTTAAAATCTAATAATATTTTCGTAGCGGTCCATAATTGATATAACAATATAAATTTTTATAGTGAAAATCAATTTATAACTAACACACACCTAATTACAAAGAAAAATGAATCAACACTAATATTTGTTCCCCACTAATCACATGTTATGTAAATATGTGGTTGATAATGCTTTATACTAGCAAACTTTTATCAACTAAGTAAAAAAATGTATATAAAGGCTACAAGTTCTAAATATTTTTTCACCACTTTCCTTTAATAACTTATTATTACTTTAAGAAGAAATTATGGGTCTCAAGGGCAAGTTGATTGGTTCAATAGAGGTAAAATGTGGAGGATCTCCGATTCACGATATTCTTCACACCAATACTCATTTTCTACCCAACATAACTCCTAGAGTGTTAAATCATTTTGAGATTCATGAAGGTGAAACTATAAAAATCGGTTCAGTTGTTAGCTGGAAATTTCATCAAGGTAACACATATTTTTTACTTCCTCTCTCTTTCAAGTTTCTTGCATCAATTTATTTTTGTTGGAATAAGGTATAGAAACACATCTAAACTATAGTAAAATTGTCAATTGTACACTTAAACTCCTACTAATTCTCATATTCTCCGCAATGTGAAGAAATGAAAATAATAAAAATGAGGAAAAACAAAACAAAACTAGATGAGAATATTATTTTGTGAATGTTTATATTTTTATGAGGATTTAAATATACAAATTAGAGAGTAATATCTCTTGTATTTTTTTATTTTAATAATTACAGATGGAAAGGAAATATTTCTTAAAGAAATGATTGAATCGGTCGACCTTGAAAAGAAATCGATCACTTGGAAAGTGATTGGAGGAAATATGTTAGAGTCGTATAATTCCTTTACTATTATCACATCGAGTGAATATCAATGGACGACAGTCACACTTATGTACGAGAAAAAAACTGAAGATACCCCAGAGCCTCTCACACTCTTGAATATTTTTCTTACTGGACTCAAAGATATTGAAAGTCACCTTCTCAAGTAATAGAAAATCTATATGGTTGAATGGTTATATACATTATGTATGTGTGTGTATGTTCGTATTTGTGTAATAATTACTTGACAATAATGGCTAGTTTTAGCTAGCGTATGATGAACTAAATAATGTCATATATTTGAATAATATACATATTATGTATACCAACTTCTAAATAATAAAATTATGAGTAACTCATAATTTCATAGTATATTCAGTCTTATATGTCTTCGTGTTTTGGTGTTAGCGATTAAATTATTTTGTAATCCTTAAATTATGAAATGTTTATATGTAAATCTGACGATAAAATAACGAATAGGCCTTGCCATTTTCTTTTCTCAACTGACCATAATAGGTCTCAAAGGTAAGTTATTTGGTTCAATGGAGGTAAAATGTGAAGGACACTCGATTCATGCTCATCATCTATCAATATAACCCCTAAAGTAGTTAAGCATTTTAAGATTCATGAATAATGAAACGATAAAAATTGGTTCGATTTTTAGCATTTTAAGATTCATGAAGGTTAAAGTAGTATATTCAATCTCACAGGTCTGAACTTGTATTGTTCACATTTTAATATCTCATATGTTTCAAGCGTATTTGTATGAATAATCACACGAAAAATTGGGAAATCTTTCACACTAGAGAAAAATGCTTTAAGAATAATACTTCACCATTCAAAACACACTCAAATGGACTTTGAAGTCCCTCTCAACCAAAGAACATTTACTTTTTACATTTTGAAAACAAGTGTTCTTTCCCATCTTTGTGGTTGATAAGGTATGAAACTAACAATCTTAACACCTTGAGGCACCGGCAACTCATCCTGCATCGGAATTTTCTCATGCCAGACAAACTCGTTCTCGTGTTCATACTTCCGGAGCAACACATTCAAGTCATCAATCACTTGCTTATAAACTAGTCTCCATGACTCTTCTCTTGGTGTATGTTTTTCTGAACTTTGTATCACATGGCAAAGAACTCCAATAGCGAAGCCTATTTGCCCCTCCGTCTTTAGACTCTCTGCTAGATACTTGTAACTGAGTAACTCATGCAGCATTTTACAGGTCGTAATATAGTCCTGTGTAGTTAATAGAAAATGTTCTTGAAGCTAAAAGCTTTCAGCGATACTGATGGATCTAAAGCATATAAAAAACATCGGTATATAAAGAAACAACAAGGGGAGCAAGAAAGGCGAGAGAAATAGATAAACAAGACATACCGTTAAAGATGAAATGTCTTTGTACTGCTTGGTGGCTGAATTCAAGGTATGAATAGCTTCACTAAGAAATTCACAAACGCCATAGTGCAGCTTTGCCAAAAGTCCTCCGGTATTCCCTTTTTGCTCTGCCTTCTTCACTGTCACAGCCTAAGTCCAACATCAGGCAAGCAAAAACAGAACGTTATTACAAGCCAAACAGGTGATAATTTGGAGAATGGAACTACGCGTTGATGCTCAAATTCTGATTTAGAAAATATAGATAGCATCATTGTTGGAGAAGAAAAACGAAAACAAGATAACAATTAAGACTAACCTGTGCCTCAGCTAAACAAACAAGGGTGGTTGCAGCAGAAACACTAATCAGAGCTTCTGGTGGCCTTTCTGGTGTCCACTCATGCTGCAAACACGGAAGGACAACCTGAGCTAGATGTTGGTAAATTCCCGCAGCTCTTCTGAGAATGGTGGCAGATTGCACTAGATCTAAAACACGGGAGTTAAATTAGATATTTCCATGAGAAGATAGAGATGAGATGAAGGAACGAACATATATATCACACATACCTGTTGACAGAACTTCCAAAGCTTGATCTCGAAGCAATGCACCAAGAACGGAAAGTGTCATACCAAGTTCAAAATGCAAATTATCCATTTGATAAAGTTTTGGACCGCTAAGATGGAAAAAGGAGGATGGAGCGAGAGAGCTGCTCCACCTAATCTTTAGGTCAGAAATCCATCGAGCCATCTTCGGGTCGTCACCAACTAGGTCTACATGGTGTATCAAGTTCCCCAAAAGTGGCAAATATTGTTCTACCTTCTGTATATTCTGCATAGATTGAAACAACAATCAAAATGAGTAAATTTCTTACACTGTTTGTTGCTTTTAAAAGGTTAGCAAGCAGTTGGTCAGTATAGAAGGCCAGCTAGCTCAATTGTCCAGCTGAATTCGTAACGCAGAATGTTATTATTATTATCATGTCACTATGTTAGCAAGCAGGTAATATACAAAGAGTCAAACAAAATAACTACCTGTTCACATCGAGACGTCAACCCCCCAGACATTTCTCTAGCAATGGCCTCTGTCACAAAGCTATTCTGATTGATGCATTCGATAGCCCTCCTTCTGGAGCTCAACTCTTTTAATTGCTCCAGGGTGCCAGGATCAGACGCTAATAATGCATTTTCAAATAGAACCTGTCAACATTAGCACGTAAAAACCAATGAAAATCAAATTTTGATATCAATAGAACCATATAGCTATAGTCTGAAAACACACAACTTTTTTATAAAATTTCCCCCTGTTGGTTTTCATTATTCAGGTGCAAGGAGTTGAATTGATACAATTCCACTGTCAGACATCTATCTTTTTTTCATTAAGAGTGGCGTCTAGATCAATCAACTTGCGTGCACCTCGACTATTTCACCATATATACACGTACTACTTCCCACCAGCACAGCAACCGTGTAAAACTTCACCACCAAGGCTTAGGCAGATGAAAGTAATCAATCACCTACTGATTTTATCTCTATTCAGAAAGCATATACGGCTAATTTCACAAATTCGGGTGAAAATTGTTTCGTTACCCTTCACAAGTACAAAAATCAAAACTCTCCACCAGCCTTACCTATCAAAAATAAAAGCACTTAGCAAGTCGAGCATATATTTATCAACACACCCTAAAATCAGCTGACAAATTAATCTTAGAAAGGCTAAAATCAGTTGACATATATAGGTGTATGTATACTACCTACTAGAATGACATATTCTACTGATTATTAGGTGAAAAGAGATGTAAACAACAGCACACAGCTTGATATTTTGGTATTATCGCCAGAAATGATCAAAATTCAATAAATCTGAAACTTTCTATTCCATATCCAGATTCAAATCAACTCCTTATATAGAATCCAGATCAACACATTCAACGAAGAAGCCAGTACGGCTTCATTTTTTCCTAATTGTGATTACTGATTAGCTAGCATCGTCATCATTACGCATTATAACATTCAATTTCCAATCAACAGTGATCAATGAATCAAAACCACAAAATTATAGCAAATTAGCTAATAAAATCAAATAACAATACCTGAGGAGATTTCTGCTTTGAAAAACCTTGAAAATTTATCATCATTTTTCTGATTCACTCTCCCCCAAAATCCACACAAAAACAATGAAATACAGTTGAAATTACACAGGAAAAAAATGGGAAAACTTGTAAGAAAAATTGAGAAGAAAATTATGGTAATAGTACATTATGTTTGTGAAGTTAAGTAGGTCAAGAAATGAATATAATTAGAGAAGAGAGTCCACAAAATTGAAGGGTCATTTTCAATCACTCTTCTACTCTTTTGCTTCTCTACTAAGAATACCGAATTTCATTTTTCGGGTCGAATTTCATCTATTGGGTTCCCGCCGGCCCACTTAGAAAGATGAATTTGGGCTACTAACGGTTATACACTTATTAAGTCCAATAAATAGAAGGAAAAAAAAAAAAACTACATATACAATATATATTATGATTGTACTTTCAAAATATTATTATGTATTTTAAAGGAGTTTCCTATCATATAGTCGGGAAGATATGTTTAGATACATGCTACCTGATACACTAAAATTGGGAGGAAGGTGAGTGGAACTTATTATATATACAAATATATTTATCTTGTAGCGGGTATGACTCGCACGTATCCATGTATCTAGTTTGGCATGTATTTGGACACCAATACATAGAACAGTTGTGAGCGAGCGAGATGAGAGGCGCGCGAAATTTGTTATGAATCACAGATACATGTGAATTCACTTGAATACTATAACAAACTACACCTAATTTTGGCCAGATATATCTCGAGATACATGTATTTGGATGCATGCAAACTGGAGTGTATATATACATACGCAGTTAGCTCCTAAACTAGTGGGAGTTATGTAAGTTCTCTGTTTAAAAAGAAGTTACGTTAAACAACATGAAGCATAGTTGATTACTTGCTGAAACTAACAGTAATTTTTGAAATTAGTTTTTCTGCAGTTAATTGTTCTGCATACATGTATTTGACAGTTTAGATACATGTACGTATATCAAATACTCGCAAGTAAGATAAGGTGTAGTTTCTAAATGATTGACATGTATTTGAGATATGCTAACGCGCTTGTCTTGCTTGCATCTCTCCCTCTCTTATCCCTCTCCTTTTTCAAATATGTATTTCATAGTGTATCAATTTTTACGAGTATATTCAGTAGAATATGAAAGCATATATCAAATTTAATTTCATCTAATGTATGTTCATATTCAATATTTGTTATATATATAATATAATTTTAATCATGTGTATAAGTGTAATTTCATATGAACATGATCACTTGAGTAGTAGTCTTGTTGGAAATCTTAACGAAGATACGTGTAGAGAATTCTTTATAGCAGAGGAGGCATGTCAATAACACTGCATATTTCACGATTCAAACTAGTATTGCAAAAGAAACTTACAATAGATTATTTACACAAATGAAAACAAAGCAAATACAACCATAACAAAATAGGATAAGATGCAAAACAGTTATTTGTCTGTGGCTTCCACACAAAGGGGGAACTCGAAATGCAACAGAGTTAGCCTTATTTGAAATACTCTCCGCTAGCTATTTGTGTGATGATCCCTGGCTTGCTTTGAGAAAGCTCAATCTCAAAGTTCTCTCCTGCAGAAGAAGAGGAAAATTAAGTTTTAGTAACTGGAACAAGGAGAGGAAGATTGTGGCGGATAAACAAATGAATTCGACTGACCTTTCAACTTCACTGTGATCAGCATCACGAGGGAATATGCTGCACTTGAATTTTTCGTCTTTAGATTTCTTACGTTCCAGTATATCTTTTGCAGATTTGACCGCTTTGATTGTGTTCTCCAACTTCATCTCGCGAAGATTAGGTATATCAGCCAGCTCAACTGGTACAGCGTTGAGCTTATCACAAGAGACAAGAACAAGGTTCCTAAGGATGGGGTAGTTAAGATTAGACGCCTCCCAAGTTTCTAATTCTGCCCTCTCGATCCACAATACCCGGAGTTTGCAAAAACCTCCCAACTCCGGCTTCCAAGTATCACCCACGAATGCATTTTCTTTCAACTTTAGAACCTCAAGGGATTCCAATTGCCCTAATTTTTCTGCCTCACTCCATGAAAACCTTGTGTTTCTCAAAGTTAACTTCTTCACAGTACGTACAAGTCTGAAGAATGTTGCAGGAAGTTGAACTGTTTTATTCATGTAATGAGGAACATCATTCAACAGTTTTAAATGTTCCAGGCGCTTAAGCTCTTCAAGATTGTTGATACCACCCTTGTAAGCACCAAGAAAAGCCTCCATTTGCCCTCGAATGCTCAATTTTTTCACATTACACGCCTTTGCTAGCACTTGTTCCTCGCAACTTTCTGGTGCAACCATGGAAAGAGTTTGTAGACAAGAAGGTTTACCTGTCGTGGTAGTCGGGGATGGCAATTTTGCAGGTATGTTGGTGTGGAGATGCCTCAACTGTAACAAGTTCCATAGGTCTGCTTTTACGTCAAGAGTGGGCTCTGAGGTACTTGTATTGATTATAAGAGTTTGTAAATTCCAGAAATTACCAAAGGGCGGAGGAAGGGCCTTAATGTCACCCGAGATAGCAATATACCTCAAATGAAATAATTGGTTGAAGTATGGGGAGAATTTAAAATTGATAGATTCAACATCCACGACTCTAATAAGTGGAAATGCATTGTGAATGAATTTGGTTTCCATAGTAGACAAGTTGATTGGCTTTTGTTTTGAGGAAAAACAATAGAAAGATCTTACATGTTCTGCAAAAGGTTTTGTGGAGAGAAATTCAGAGATATCAGATGGTTGAATAGACAATCTACGGCAAGCATCTAAGTCCTGTATAGAACGAAGATAGTTATGATGATCAGGTGTTGGACGTACATGTTGAAAAAGCCATTTCTTACTAGCTTCGTCTCTGCAAAACTCATGCAATAGGTCGTGAAGACGACATGTTTTTATTTGACCATCAGACCTCTTTTGGGACAATATCACTAAATTCCTTTGAACGAGATGGTTCAGATAAAACTCTGCTATCTCCTCAAGAGTGTATGGCGACTGTTGGGGCTTTATCAACCCTTCCGCTATCCACAAACGAATCAATTTCCAGGCAGGGATATCAAATCCCTGAGGAAAGACACCACAGTATAAAAAGCACGTCTGCACGTCTTGAGGCAGATGATTGTAACTCATCTCTACAAATACACCACGATATTTATCCTCTTCATCATAAAGATGATATAATTGTGACAAATTCTTGTCAACCCTTTCCCAGTATCTTCTGTCTGTAAGACCTCTTAATATTCCTGCAATCAGCACTATTTGAAGTGGTATTCCGTTGCATTTATGTGCAATGCTTTGTCCAAGTTCAACAAACTCAACAGGACATGAGTTTCCATTGCCAAAAGCTCTATTTACCAACAATTCAAAACTTTGTTCTGCATGCAATGGTTTCATATAATAAGGACCTGGATTAGCATAGGAAGCCAGATTCGCGTGACGCGTTGTCATCATGATCCGATGCCCCTTATTGTTTCCCGGCAAAACTCTCTTTACAACATCAACAACTTCTGCTTCCCACACATCATCTAAAACAATAAGACATCTCCCTCCTCTGTCTCGTATCGCATCTCTTATTGCCTTACCTAATGCATCCACATCCCCATTCATGACATCTTCTTCTATGCTTTTTTCGAAGCATTTCAGAATCCGAACACAAGTATCCTTTATTTTGTATTCGCGACCAACATAAACCCAAACAATGCTGAAAAATTCATATGAAAACTCAAATTCATTGTAGATTTTTCTTGCTAGTGTGCTTTTTCCAAGTCCGGGCATACCCACCACTGGGATAATATCCAGACAGTTCGGTCCTTCAACAAGTCGTTTCATCACTTGCTGAGCTTCCTCATCAAAACCCACCACTTCATCATCCTCACCCTTTTCCATCAAAAAAAAATTAATACAATAAATATGTAATTTCATTATAGCTTATAAACACCTCTTATGGTGATATTAGTTGTCATTTCTATCCACTTATAAAGTTGTTCCTATGATTACTACTTTAATCATAAAAAAGTTACTGTTTCTATTTTACGAAGAATGATTTAGTTTGACTTGAAAAAATAGAATAACAGTCGGTAATAAACTAAAGAAGTGTAAAAAACACACCTAAACTATTCACTTTTTTTTGAGTTTAATACTTAAACTATTGAATGTGTGACTTTAATATCTAAACTATCAACTTTTTGGTTTGAGAAACATATCTTAGTGGTGTGTGTAGTGCATTTTCTCTTTTATATGAAAAAATTTTGACACGTGGCATTTCACATAGATAAAATATTTTATCTAGGTGAAAATTAAATTATTTTCTTATCTCACTCCACTACCTCCTCCACGTATCCCCTCCCCCGTGACAATCCCATCTTTTTCTAAAAAAATATATATATTTATAAAATATTTTTAAAATTTTTATATTTCATCCTTCCCCTTCCCCCTCCCGATAAAAATTGATATTATTTTATTTAAAAAAAATCTACCCCATCCTATTTTATTTTTCGCTCCTAATTTTTATTTTTTTACGTTTTTCTTATTTTGTGTTAGATATGCATGTACATATATTTTTAGAAAAAAATTCTACTAGTGTACCAAATATAACATAAACAATTCTTGTGGCATCAAGTAAAAAATATTATCTATATATATATATACCTAAACACTGGGGAAAAAATTGAAAGCGGAGAGTTAAGTGGGATGGGTAGAATTATATTTTTAAGAAAATAAAATAATATCTAAATTAGTATTTGATGAGGTGGAGGAGATGAAGTAAAAAATGAAATAATTTTATAAAAGAAATTTTAAGAAAATAAAAAACTTTAAAAAATGGTATGGGTAAGAAAAATATTTTACATTTTATTTTATAAAGAAAATGTTTTTTTATAATAGTTTTTTTAATTTTTAATTTTAACTAATACTAATAATTTATTTATTTTTTGTCAAAGTTGAGTAATTTGTTCATGTGGAGTGTGATGTGGAAATTATTTAAAATAAAAGAGAGAGAGTTTATTACATATACCATGATGAGAGATGTGTGTTTCTCAAACTAAAAAGTAATAGTCTAGATATGAAACTCAAATTTTCAATAATTTAGATATGAAACTAAAAAAAAAAAGGTATAGTTTAAGTTGTGCTTTTTGACACGTATTTCTTAACTAAAACTTCAACTTATTTCAAAAAGTGTTAATTTATATATGTATATTTATAAAACTAAAATTTAACTCAATACATAATATAATTTTTTAATGAAAGAGAATCGAACGAGAAGGTATGTCTGCTATGGTGGATGAAAATCGTTGAGGCTGTTCAAGAAAATTATTGTTAGTTAATTGTTTTTTTGCCTTCTTTATTAATTAATATCAAGGTCAATACAGCAAAAAAATGTAATTTTATAGGAAAAATAAAAAGGAAAATGTTATCTGGGGCATCTTTATGTTTCCATGGAAAGTGAAGAACATTTTTTTTTTTGCTACATCACTATTTTATGCTTAATAATATATATATTTTAAATATTTTAAGTGTTCAATGGGATATTAATACTAATTAAGATATCTAAATGAAATATATAAACAATTTTAAAAAATTATATAAGAGTACTAATACACACGGTAGAAATTAAAGAAATACTTCCTCTGTCTCTATTTTCAAGAAGTTTAAATGAGGATTTATCAAAATGGACAAGTAAATAGAAACAAAGAAAAGAAGTACTTTTATATAATATTAAACATAAATGAGTAAATAAATACCTGGGTTATTCGTTGGGTTATTTTAGGAATGTGAACAGTTATGTTAGTGGTAAAAGCTTGTTTATTATTTTGATGGAATATCTTGAGATCGTCATTGATTTTTCTGATTTGAATTGCAAAATCGCTAATTATTGTGCTATGAAATCTTTTGGCTATACTCCCTTGTTGGTGTAGCTTTGCTTGAACCAAAAATTTATCAGTTAAATCCTCAACTCTGTGTATAATTATTTGAACCTCCTTCACCATTGAAGTATCGTTATCGTTTTGGAATTTACAAGCATCGTCAACCAACACTTTGAGGCGTTGAACTTCTTCTAACAGACTGTTGAATTCATCGTCTAATCCATGAATCAGATTTATATGATCACTTAACAGCTGCAACAAGTTCTCCAACAGAAAGTTCACCGCTGCATCTGCCATATCTAGAATCAATCAACACAAAACATATTTTCATTCGCTTTATATACTATTTCTCAACTCAAATTATTTATCATATTTGCCAAAAATACCCTTATATTCATACATATTTGCCAACCATACCTCTCTCCACATATCTTTAAATTAAACCTACTTGTTTAATTTTCAATAGTTACTATTAGAATAAAGAACTTGTTTACTTTTTAATAATTGACATAGTGAGTTTATTAATTTACTCATAGTAATTATGAAATGGATGAATTAAAAAACGTAGGATTTTTAACAAGTTCTACATTCTTCAAAGTAATTAATTGAGTTATAATAAGTAAAAAAATAAATAAATTGTCCTTTCTTGATTTGTCACAAGTAATTAGGGACAACAAAAAAGAAAAATATGGACTAGTAATTAGGGACAGAGTGAGTGGTTATTAATCAATGTTTAGTTAGTTTAATACTCCATCCATTTCATAAAGAATGGTCTAGTTCGATTTGACACGGAATTCAAGAAAATAAAGAAGATTTTTGAATTTTGTGACTCTATATTAAAGTTATGTCATACGTATAAAATTGTCCGTTAATGTTGTGATCTTAAATATGTCATGTGAAAAGTTAAAATTAAAATGTTACCAAAAATAGAAAGATGTCATTTTTTTTTAAAACAGACTAAAAAAAGTCACTCTTTTTTAAACTGATGGAGTAACAAATTTGACAATAATTAATTGGGGTAAAATGAATAGTTATGCTTGGACTAAGTAGTATTATCTAAATAATTTTAAACCATTATATGTGTTGCTTGAAAATCAAAGGAGTAATGAAATATTCAATGAACATGGAGATATGGTTACTAATTAAGATGACAAAAAATCGACTTATAGTAACAATATTATTTCGTCTTCTCAATTGTCTGATCTAGAAATGAAAGCTTTTCGGAAAGAAACTGTTAGTAGAATGTGGAAAGATTATATAAATGAATAGTTTGTTACTATCTCCTTCGGAGGTTATTATAATTATAACTGAATTATTGATAAGTTTGAATATACATTAATGTATTGCTCTTGCCTATTGTTATTTTGTTATTATTGATTACTATCAATTATGTCATAAAGTCAATTTTAACGGAATGTAGTCATTATAAATAGATAATACAAACTTATAAATATTTTTAATAGATTTTAAAACTTATAAATACATATTATATTTTTTAAAATAGTCAAATATTTTTTAGAAAACTTGGGACCAAACAAGAGTTTTAACTTGGACCAAGTATTAATTGACAAAAAATACTTAGGAACTCGAGACCAAATTATTTAAATAATTGTTTTTATATTTACTTTCTCAATTTAACAATAATATGGGATTGCTTCTTACATTCAAGTCTTTCATTTAATTAATTAGTTCTTTTGTTAAATTGACCCAATTTTTACATTAGATAAAATATCCTAATTTACTTGTGATTGAGGTTCGTTCTCATCTTTTAATATTACAAATAACATAATTAAGTTTAACTAGAGCTTGACTATTATATTGTCCACTGAAATAAAAATAAATTGAAAGGTCACTTTGTCCATTGGAAACTTCAAACGGTTTAAGTGTGGCATTTTTTTTTGGTAATACTATATGATCAGAAAGTGGACCTTCAAAATTTTAAAAATGTCTAAAAAAGTAAAATAATATAGGTAAAATATTATTTTAATCAAATTTTTTGGTTAATTTCTTTTTTCTTTTTTTATTATGTAAAGAACTTTTGCAAGAAATCGTAAAATATAATTTATACAGGTAAACAACTATTCTGACCAATTTTCTGACCAAATTTTTTTTTCCTTAACAAAAAGGGCCTAAAATATTCTTGAAGTATTGAAAATGGTACAAAATTACCCTTCATCCACCTATTGGCTCCGAAATGTTTTTTTCATCCACCTATTGACTCCAAAATACCCTTGTCATCCATCTTTGGGTTCAAAATTGACCACTTTTTTAATTGTTTTAAAATTAAACTCTTTAATTTTTTTAAAAATACTTGGCGTTCAACTATTAATTATAATTTTAATTTATTAATATAATTTATAAACCAACACACTACCCGCTCATTACTAACTAAACCTCACTCAATTAATGATCCAATTATAATATCAAAATCGTCATAAACACTACTAAAACACGATGAAATTATAGATTCCTGAAAATGACATCCAAAATTATTCGAGTTCGAATCGAAACCCCAATTAAATTTAGGTTAAGCCGCTTATTTAGGAGGATACTCTCTTTCAAAATTGAATTAGAAATTTATGATTAAAGGTAAACAAGTAATACATCCCGAATTAATTCATGCACTTTTTTTAAAAAATAATTTTATAAATATTTATGGTTTGTTTTAACACCTTTAATTATTATTTTTAAAAAATGTATCTATGAAGTAACATCACATAATTGAGACGAAAGAATAATTAAGATGAACACAATCACACTTTTAAGTGTATCGTTAATTTTAATTTAAACACTTGAATGTATGATAATTTTCTTCTTTAGATATTTTCGCCTCAATTTTTTAAAAACTCTCATTGAAAGTAGCTTGCTGTTGTTGCATTAGTAATGTGAAAAGTTTATTAATTTGGTGGAATTTAATTAGTAATGGGTGAGTAGTGAATTGATTTATAAATTATACTAATAAGTTATATTATAACAAATAGTAAGCGTCACATATTTAAAAAAATATTTGAATAGTTTAAATTTAAAATCGTTAAATAAGTGATCAATTTTGAACCCAAAGGTGGATTACAAGGATATTTTGGAGCCAATAGGTTGGTGAGAAAGGTATTTGGAGCCAATAGGTGGATGGAAGATAATTTTGTACCATTTTCAATACTTCAAGGGTATTTTAGGCCCTTTTTCGTTGTGTATATGGCAAGCGAGATTGGGAGAGGCAAGAGAGAGGCGAGCGAGAGAGGATAGAGAGTGGGAGAGAGGTGAGTTGTATATGAATATCGGTTAGATAATTTTATAGTATACATATGCATCTGTATATATGACAAACGAGATTGAGAGAGGAAGGAGAGAGGTGAGTGAGATTGTGAGAGGGAGGAGAGAGGCGACGAGAGGGGGGGAGAGAGAGGTGAGCGAGAGAGGGCAAAGAGTGGGGGAGAGGTGAATTGTATATGTATATCAATTTTAAGATAATTATATATTATACATATGTATTTGTATATTCTGGCGAATTATGCATATACAAACGTGACTAATTATACAAAGTCAAAGTCAGCCCATGTAATTAATATATAATGTTAATCGTAAATGGTAATTATAACAAACTATAGCTATGATGAATATTTAAGTAGTGTAATATTGCTTAACCGGAAAATTTTCCCTAATTTAAATGATTTTAATACTAATTTCAAGCAGTATTCGTTTATTAAAATAAATGAAGATTCACCAACTATATTGCTTCTTTAAATAAAATTAAATGTCACCAACTATATTAAGTATTTTTTTTCAACGGGAAAAGGGTCCGAAAAATATTTTAATTTTGGTCAAAATTGTTGGTTATGATACTAAATTTTAGAAACGACTTTTTACCACTTGTACTGTTTAATATTATATTTTAAAGGTACATATGTCCTACGTGGACATTATAAATATTGCATCATTTTAAATAGTAATGTGTCCACGTGGACAAGTATATACCTTTAAAATACATTATTAATTAGTGGAGGGGTAAAAGGTCACACATAAAATTTGGTATTGTAACAATAATTTCGACTAAAATTTAAATATTTTTCAAATCTTTAACCCTTTTTTCAACTAATGACATGAATGCTTAATTTAAAAAATGACTCTGGATCAATAATTAAGTGAAGTCAAGTTTAATATTATTTTCTTAATGAAATATTTTCATATAATTGTAATATTAAATAGAAATTAAATCCTTATTCCTTGATTAGTTGAGAATTTTTTTTATGCCACATAATATGAAGTGTCACCAACTATAGTAGTATTATTTTTCAACTTGTGATGTGTACTTAATTTTAAAAAATGACTCTGGATTAATAATTAGGGAAGTCAATGATTGATAAATTAAACCAATCTTGGGGTTCGAATCATACTATAAAATTGGTGTTCAATAAATTAACACAATATATTTATTTTGGGGATCTAATCACATACCTAATCATATTATACTTTATTTATTATCTCGAATTCAAATAAGTTATGAGAAAATGTACTCAAAATGAATTCTACTCCACATATACGATTGTATGTGGTGATGGTGGTGTCAATGAAACGGTTGGGTTAAATATGTTTAAAAAATCATATCATATTAATTTTTTTGGATATTTTATAATGTATATATAACTAAAAATAGGTTTTCTAAAAATTATTTCAATCATATCGATTTCTTCTCGATATTGATAGGATTTAGTTATTTTTCATTTTTTATTTTTAAATTATCACCTCAAAATATATTATTATTAAAATATTATTTTACACTTATGTTCTTGAAAAAATACTTAAATTCTTCTCCAAGATGTCAAGAATGTAAAATTTTATTTTCGTATTGTTTGATCTTAAACATTTAATATGATGTGTTTGTTAATGTTATATCCTGATTTTCTTACCTTATTTGAAGTTTATTTTCCCAAAAAAAAAAAGACAAAATGTCTTAACTTTTGCGGAAAGTAAAACATTATTTTCTTATATATATTTGATCTCTTTTTTTAGAAAAATTTGGTACTCTATAAATTAAATACTCATATTCTTATAGCACAACACAATAATATCCACAATGTAGATATTTAAGAGTTTAGTTTATGAGAAAATTTTCTCCTAAACATATTTATGTTGAGTGACTTTCTGTGTAAAAAAGTCATGATAGAGTGACTTTTGAGTTTGAAAAGAAAATTGAGTGATTTTCTATGAATTAAAATACATTATTTGTTTATTAAAATAATGTATTTTAGTTAATAGCCATTATTTGTTTATTAAAATAAAATTATGTCTCACTAACTATATTGTTTCTTTAAATAAAATTAAATGT